GCTCTGGTGTTCTGTAGCAATAGCTGGATCGATTGTTTCTGGTTTTTTGTTTGCTGATTTTGTGAACTGCTTTCTTCAGGGTTTATTATTATAGGCTCACAGTAAATCTAACTTATGTGGAATTCTTAGAATCACAATTTTGGTGTTAATTCTTGTGCAGCTAAAGGAACATCAACTGCCCAAAGAGCTGCCTCAGCCTGTTTCTCTCCTCTGTTATCAGTCAGTTTTGGAACTGTGAAAAACAGTCTTGTCCCTTCCTATATACTCTGACATTTAAGTGGGCAGTGACTGTTCATTTAAAATTAATCTGAGGGGTAGGAATTTTATGAGTAAGTTATGGTACTGAAAACTAAATTTTTTTTTTGGTATTTGTTTTTTTGTTTTGGTTTTTTTTTGTTTGTTTGTTTGGGTTTTTGTTTTGTTGGGGGTTTTTGTTTGGCTATTTTTTTGGTGGGGATTTTTGTTTGTTTTTGTTCTCATGGTATATTTATATATATCATAGTGTATCTGTAGACTGATGTGAGAGCAGAAACATGAGCAGGAATAAATTTTCAGTAAGATCATTCAGAGCTTTTTGTCTCAGAAGCTGTTGTATATTTGGATGTCCGTCTATATGATGAGAAATGTGTATAACTCAGTGTCTTTGTAATGGATCTTGGTTAGCATCTTGAGTATTTAGATATATTTCTACCAGTACACAAATTTTCTGGAAACTTATAGCCATCTTCCAACTTGCAGCTGTGCCCCTATACTACCAGTCTCTTTCCTATTTTTCCTCTGCACTGAGCCTGCTTCTTTGTTGATTTTGATAGATCACTGGAAAGGAAAGGAATGGTTCCTCTTCAGGCAAACGGTAAAATTCAACTACCAAAGAAACAAACCCAAAACATTAATTGTTTAGTGGAAGCCACTTTCTGTGGCTGAAACTCTGAATTTGAAGTAATATTTTGTCAGCACCTTGAGGCATCCCTGTATCCTAGCCCAGCATGTCCCCCCATTGTGTATTACCACTTGCATCATGTCAGAAAGTCTGAGAATAGCAGTGATCTTTCTCAAAGGGCCTCTTGTTTGAAGCATTGAAAGTTTTTTCCCCACTTTAGAAAATTCCATACCAACACCCTCACAGTATGCAGGAAAACTCCTAGTGATTTGAGTCTAACACTGAAACTGAAAGGAAGCAAAGTGGCATATATTATTATATTGGCTACCAGAGAAAGGCTTGTCTTTAAAAATATATGTGCCTTTTACCTATGCTTTGTGGTAGGCATACATCCTGAAGACTGGCACATGGCAAAGGGAAATCAATTAAAAATGCATAATTATATTATAAGTATTTGTAAAATAGCTAGATAAATGTAATATGACAGAGAGAAGTCAAGAAGTATTTTAGAATAACAAATCTGTGCTCTGAAATATATTGGAATTGTTCAGAGTGAGTTACAATGTGGTAAAAAGTCGTTGCATAAGCAGTGCACAGATGTGCACATCAGGGATGTTCACAACACTTTTGATAAAAGTCCTTTCCAAAGCAAGCATGAGAAGGTCCATCAAAGAAGTTCAGCTACATAATTTTGGAAAGAAGAAAAGGAAAAAAGTTTTCAGGAAGGATCAGGTGATGATGCCTGTGTAGAAACTTGTAGCCATTGTTTATTGATTGATGGACTGATTTGTAACTTAGGAAAGGTTTCCAACAGGAATAAAAGTTATCCATCTTACTCACAGATAAGGAATTTTCTGAGTCTGCTAGAAGTTTTTTTAACTATATTTTCTCATGTAACTGCCTGTTCACATAGTTTTTCACACATTCATTCTTACTCTTTATGCCTGTAGCAGTGCAAGGTTTATAAGCATCAAATAGAAAACAAGAGGGGGGAAGAATTTGGTTCTTTAAATGCAAATAAAAATTTCCTACAGTCATCCTCCTGTTCTGTAGGTTTGTACATCACAGGCCTTACTGTGTGGCTAATTCTTCCACAGGAGGACTTTGACTGTGGGACTTGACTCCATTTGTTCTCTGTGTTGATATAAATATCAAGAATAAGCTGGAGGTTTTGTAGGGAGCAATTTATTCTTTTCTGCTTTTGCTGCAGATGGTAGAATTTGCTCAGGCTGCAAGAGCTGCAAAAGTACATAATGAAATAGAAAATTATACTAAAAATGGAAGAAACTATGCAAGAGTGAAACTTGTTCTGCCTTTAGCAAAAGTGTCACTAAAGTTTCTTCAGCAGAGCTATCCATATCTGGGGATATTGCTGGTTATTTCTTGCTTACAGAAACCTCTTTCCCATTAGTCCACACAGAGCACAATGTCAGTAATAGTTGGGTCAGGGTGCTAATTATTTTTGTGAAAAATGGATGGGCAGAGTCCAGGAGATACATGTGCCCTAATTTGTTGAGAGCTTTTAAAGATAAATGGCCTTGAAGTAGATTTGTTTTCAAATGAATAGCCAGTAGAGTGTTTGGAGCAGTGGCACAGTAAGCTCTCATGTTTTTCTCAGAGTGATGAATGTTGCATATTCTGTCTGTTGACGTGGTCTTTGCCATCAGATGTCCCCATTATTAATATTTTTAGGGCAATGGCTGTAAATTATTGCAGCCCAGTTTTATTACTGTTTTACATCTATCAAGGACTGAGCCTTGTGTGCAGTTTTATATTAACTCAGCAGGCACTATTAAAATATTGGCATTTAGGCTCATTTTGGCAGTATTAATCATAACATTAATCATAGCATTTTATCATGCCTTAATTGTATGAAATGACTGGTTTGAAATGACTGGAGTGTTCACTTCTCTAAAAGCAGGTGAAACAATAATTTCCATTTCTCTACTTTTTCAACCCGTAACTGTACTTTAAAAAACACAAACAACAAACAACCCTAAAGACATAACCCCCCTATCTCCTAACTGTGTGTGCTGTGGGCATCTACTTCTTGACTTCTTTGCAACAACTGAACATCTAAGACCCAGCAGCTCTTATGGACCTCACTGGAAGTTCTTGGAAGTGTCATTTCTAAAAATCGGTCTCTGAAATCTCAGTGTAGACACCTACAGTACATTTTTGGCTTCAAAAATGTGCCCTAATATATATAACAAGAGTACTTCTGATGTGCAGAGAAAAGTTGCAATCTGTGGCTGTTTTCATATGCTGAAATGGCTTAAGGGTTTAAAACAGGCACAGAAGTGCCTTTTGTGATTCTCCAGCAAGCATAGGCTTACAGCACCCATGTCTGCTTTGTCTTACTATACCAGTAACTGAAGCTGTGATATTTGCTGGCTCTTTTCAATGGAGAGCATCACGAGATGATTATGTTTAATACAAGGAGTTGGCAGCCTTTCTCACTTAACAATCATTAGGAGATCTGCTGCTGAGGTCCCATTTTGTGAGGCAGCTGGAAATTGGTACTTAGTTTGAACGTATTGTTTTCTACCTTTCTCTTAAAGTTCAAGGACAAGGCAAAACTGTTCAGACTACATAGAGAAAAAACTTCTTTCTCTCTTTTGTTTACTTGGTCTTTCCACCTGCCCATTTATTCCCTGTGAAAATTTATTCCTCTATATATACATGAATTAAATGGAAGTGAGGACAATGTCAACAAAGATGGAAGTAGAAGGCTTGAGGGAAGGTATTTGAAAGCACCAGGCAGAAGATAGCTGTGATAACCATGTAGAATTTTCACTGGAGTAAAAATCATCTAGGTCTTCATTTTTGTTTCTTTTGATACTTATGAAGGGGGACAATACTGTTGCTTCTGTTTTAGGAAACTGAGGCCTGGAATGGGTCAGTGGGGAGGGAAACCCTAAATCACTCAAAGGGAAAGGTGCAGAAGATGCAGAATAGTGGTATCCCAGTTTGCTAACCTTCACTTTGTTCTCCTAAACATGCATTTAATTAATTATTTTAAAGACTGCCCCTTCCAAATCCAATCCCTAGATGTTCTTTCACCTTCAGCAGTTTGACCAGCTGTATTTTCCTTGATAACATGATATGGCTCAGGCCACAGGTTTCTACTGTAGCCTTCTGCCTATGCTATACTGGATCTTCTCAAAAGACTTTCTAGTGATAGAGGTTTTCTTTTTTAAATTACAGTGGCTTCACATGACCAAATATTATTCATTAACTTGATTGCCTAAGGATATCAAGCTCCAGGGGAAACTTGTATTCCTAGATGATTGGCAAGATAATTAGGAAGTGAAATAATGCAAGTCCCACTGCAGGCAGCCATCAATGATTTATGTATTTACTCTTTGAATTCAAAGTGTGTCATATCATACATCCTTTTTTTATTTTAAGGCTCTTGTAACTGTAGGTTTATTTTCGACCTTCAACATGCATGTTTTGCAGGGGCAGAAGGCTTTATGAGTTTAATCAAGTAGGGCTGGTAAACCCACTGAGATTTTTAGTCTGCAGTATCACCTAGATAACACAGGCTAAAGTACACTTTTGCTTTTATTAGCTTTTGGTTTTAAGTTCCTAGGTCACAGCCTTTCATTCTTTATTTCTACCACAATTAGAGCTTCTAAATGACATGAAAACACAGGCACAGAAGCTGCTGATGGCAGCAAGAGTTCTGCATCCTCCAGGAGGGTGGAATATTGGGTGTAGGTTAAAGACATCTTTATATGGAGTCTCCTCCAGTCTTCCCCATTAACAGAGATCAGAGTAAGCTCATATAAGTAATTGCTGCATCCAGGCAGCAGTAACAGGTGGGAGATTAAATGAGAGAGCTGTATAGATGGGGGGTCCTGTTGAGGATGGCCTTCAGTAAGTAAAAGTCACTTATAAATGAAACATGTAGCAAAGCCCTACCAAGTAAAAGGTGTCTTATGAAGTTCTGGCAGTTTCTCAATCTGAAGTGGTAAAACCTGAGAAGCAAGGATACTTGTGGAGTTACTCTGATGTGGTTGGATTAAAATTCATCTGGCAAAAATATTTTTTTTTTTAAAAAAAGGACAAAAAAAATCAATATTATTGCTAATGAGTGCCAACATTTATCTTACAGGGAACCTGAAGTTTTGCCTTCTGATTCTGAACCAGCCTTTCAACAAAGGTCATTTCCATTGTCTGTGGAGCAGAGGTAATAATAACTCACATACATCTTCATTTGTGTATTTTCTTAGCTGTTACCCAGCTAATGTACTTCATGTCTGTTGAATTTCACTGTGGCAATTTCCTCTTTACTAGAGCAACCTTCTGGTGAGGGTGTGAACTGGCAGAGTATGTCCCTTGTTGCTGAATGCAGCAAATGAGCTGATTATGCGAATTCTGCATCCCTGCATTGCACATGTCAGAGGGAACTTTGTGCACTGATCTGTGTAAGACTGTAGCTTTTCAGATGCTTCTCAGGAACAATCATTGTTTTGCTGACAAAGTGTAACAGATCAATGGTGCATTTAAGAGTCTGGAAGTGAGCATTTCTTTAAAGGTCATCAGTGAAAAGTGTTAAATTTAATCAAAATAAAATGAACCGTGTAGATACTAAGTTGTGAAAGCAGTGGGGAATTTGCGTGCTTGTCAGAAATATGCAAATCAGATTTCACTACCCCTTTGTTAAATATACACAGTACTAATCATCATCTCTGGTATGATAGCTTCAGATTTGCTGACATTTTGTGGAGATATGTAAATCCTTACAAGCTTGGAGCTATTAATTCCTCCATGCAAGAACGTAGCCCTTCAGAAGCTTTCTGAAAAGCCACAGGAACTGTCTCTAACTTAGTCCCAGGGTGGGAACTTTGCAGAGAGATTCCTCTTAACTGAGTGGAGCAGATAGAGCTATTTGGTTGCACCATAGGCATAAGGACTGGCAGGGGGTAGCTGTACAGTTAAAAGGAATTGAAATAAGGGATGAAGTGAGCAGGATATATTCATAGCACTTAATTCCAGTAAACCCAAATTAGGTACCCATATAGCCAAAAGAGTGATAAAAAAGGAAGATAATTGTACAAGACTATTCAAAGCACCTGAACAAGTGCTATACCCCAAACAAAATCACTTTCATTTGCATAATCAGCAAGAAAGTAACAAGCCCTCAGTGGAAGGGCTTTCTACTTATTTTATAGATCCAATTCTACATATTTTTTCATTTAAAAAGATACAGTGAAACACCTGCTTTGTATTAAATAGAGAAGGAAACAAGATGAAGCATTTGACCTTATTTCTTTGTCCCACCTTTCCTGTTTTTAGGATTGGGGTTAAAAAAAGAGACAGTAAACCAGATTTGCATGGTTTCTGAATGGCGGTATTCAGTGTCTGGTAATACCTTGCATGTGTTGTTGTAGTGCTGTATTTTGTTGATCAGACTTTTTTTTTGTCTGTCCTTTGGAATTTTAAATCTTCCTCATTTGTTGTAACCTTGGGGCATAGGGTGCTTCTTACTGTAAGCCTTTAAACTGTAGTGCTTCTGTGAAGTGTTGAAATAAGAAGCTGAATAAAATAAAGTAGGCCAAAGACTGTCTAATTCAAAGCTACCTCAATGGGTTCCTGTTGAGCATAACTGTGTTGAAAATGATTGTTGGTGCTGTAAACAGTTTTCCAAAGTCTTTGTGGGAGGAGCAGAAGTCCTAATTAAGCTATTAAGATTTTTGCTGGTAGTTTACTTTAAGAAATAGGTGGATATTTTCTATCTAAGTAAAATGACAGATGGAAGTGGTTGTATGGTAAACATGAAATGTTTTTTCTTAAAAGCATCTCAGCTGCAGCAAACCTTAGTGAATCCAGGACAAGATTTTGGTAATGCCTGGTTTACAGTGCTAGTGGACTACTTTAGGTGTCAGCAGTTTTCTGGATCCTGGTTCTGGAGGATCATTAGCACAGCGACTGTTGCAGGACTAGGCAAACCTGGGGGACTGGGTATGTGAACTAAAAGAAGTTCTGAAGGAATCATCCTTAGGAACAATGTCTGATGACCAGCTGTATATGCTTGCGATATCATAAAGGAGAGATGAGAAGGAAATAATGGGGCTGTTAATCCACAGAATATTGCCAGCTACACAAACTCAGGGAGAAAGGGAGAGAAAAATGCAAAGGAAAAATAAGATAAAATATTGTCCCACTTCTCTGAGTTACAGGAATCTTGGGTTGTTATACTCAGCACAGAATGCTGAGATGTGTCATTTTCAAGTAGCTTGGGTCCTATTGTCCTGGTTTAGGGTAAATTTGGGAGGAAAGGAAATGAAACAAGCATCATAAAGTTACCCTACAACACCTATCAAAATAACTTCTTTCATTAGCCCTGTCAGTTTAGTGTCAAGTAAAAAGTGATGTGATGTGAGATTTCCTAAGTTAAAAAAAAAAATCGCATCAATAAGTGGCTGTTCTAGGCTAAAATCATCCCAGGTGTAACTCCTCTTGACCTTGAGAAAAAGTGGTTGCAGCTAATTAACCTTTGTCTTATTACACACATTTATGAAATCTATTTTTACTGACATACTTTCAAAATAACTATTTCAGTCAGTACAAGTTTGCATGAACTTTCTTCCTTGTGCTTTGTGAAGGATACTGAAATCGTATTTCATCACTTCCAAGAGACATCTTTTACCATTCTTGCTACACAAGCTGGATAAGTGACTATAATGAAGCAGTACAAGCTAAGGACTACATGATTTTAGTCTATTATATATCATTACTGCAATGAATCAGTCTAGAATATGTTGACTTGTTTGGTGTTTGGTACAGTCATGTGGTGTTAGTAGTGTCCTAAAAGCAGGATGGATGAAATGCTGGAGAAGTGGAAGTTTGCAAAAGCAGGATGAAGACTAATATGGCAGACAACATTGGTTGTTTCCTGAAGGATTTATTGGGCTGCATATAGTGAGAAGGGGAAAAACCAAATGGCAAGAAAAATTAAAGAGAATAGATCAGTAAAGGGGAATAGGAAGTAATGTGGAAAATATGCTGAAGAGTCAGGACCCAGCTTTTCTCAGAGCTGCACATTTTTCTGTCTGTGAGTTTTCTATAAGGAAGACTGGATCCAGTAGGCCTTACCTTAACACTGTCATGCATCCTAATTCCTGCTTATGCAAAGTTTTTAGCTCCTGGTTTGTATCCTATCTAATAAAAAAAAATATGGTTATGACAAAATCCAGTTTGAATTAGTCTCTGGGGCTACTTCTTAAGTGATTTCAAATGTAAATATATCTTTGACAGAATTGACTGTGAGTTGAAAGTCTGAAGCTGTCTTAAGTTTGAGAAGTACAGAGCCCAGGTTTTAGTGGCTGAAAACAGAATGGGCTTTCTGGGGAATAAATGAAAGTTCCTGAGACTTTGATTCTGCTTTTTAAAATCTCTTTAATCAGAAATGCAGTGACTTACTTATGCCAAGAATTACAGCTATGTCTAGTGATTTCAAGTGCTCTGATTTTTTGATGTCTCCCTAGGGAAGAGGCAGAATTATTTCACTGCTGAGAAATCACCTTAGTGAAAATTGTCTTAAGTTCAGGTTCTGAAAATTGTTTCTTTTTTCTTAAAACATTACCCCTACAAGCTACTCAAATGATCCAGAATTTTCTTATGTTCTCTGCCTTATGATAAGATGTTAAATGGCTGTACATTGTGGAGTAGTTTCCACTCTTAAATGTTGACATTGACAGCTGTAAAGAACAAGGAGTTATGCTCTGGAAAATAAGATTATTATTTAAAAAGTCAGAGAAATGACAGCATTCTATAGCAACCTGGTGAAGCTGGGCTTTTTAGTAGGAAACTGTGTCCATGTGTATTTTTAGTTCTCATAATGGTTGTGCTGCATTGGCTGCTGTGTCTTCCTCAAAAGCATTGTGATTTCTTTCCACAAATAAACACTTTCCGTGAAAGCCTTTAATCAAACAAAACAGGTTGAACAACTTCAAATATTAGCCATTCATACTACCAAATGTCCTCTGCTAATGTATTAGAATAAACTACCAACATCTCTTGGAACAGGCTTATTGAATCCTGACTTGTGCGAGGCGTGTTTAATGTTGGACAATTCTTTAGAAAGGAGACATCTATGAAACCAGGCTGCTTAAATGTTCCTCAGGTGTACATCCTTAAACAGTCTCTTCCACAGGCAATTCTTTCCAGTGAAGGAACTTGGGGTCTAGCTCTATTTTCTTATGCTGCTCTACAGACAACATGACCAGCCACTTCATATGCATAGTATATGGAGATTTTATGACACCGTGTAGATCATGAAAATGGAGGAGCTCCAGAAAGAGGAATGTTGCTCACCCTAGAGACCTCTGTATTGTGTGTGGGGTTTATATACTGAGATAAAAGAAAGCATTCTTCTACAGCAGCAGTGTAGTAAGTCAAATCCAAACTCTGTTAAATTGTCTTCAATTGGTATTTTCTTGGAGTATTTATATTGTGATGACTTATCCACAAAATGAGTTTTCTCTATCAATACTCATATTGCAACTACTCCATCAAAGTAGCTGTTGCATTCTAAATCTTCTCTTGAATGTCAGGAAACTTTCCGGTCAAGGCCAGCCTACTCTTTGGTGAAAATGCTGATAATGAATGGTTGATGAACACCTAGAGGTGACTGTGCATGACAAAATATCTTTCCTTACTAAATAATCAAATCAGAAAAGGTGCTGATTTGCATGACCGATTTTCAGGTCATCTGTCTTTGAGTGCCACATGCTCCCATACATTTCATATTCCATATGCTTTTGTCTGCAATGTAACAGGTGATCGATATCTTGAATGACTTCAGTTGAGGTCCAAGAGCTGTGTATAGAGGGAAATAAGATACAAGTGGCAATGCAAAGTTCAGGTATAACTTCAGATGTACAGAGGGGAAGGTAACAGATAGCTGGAACAGTTTTAATGTCTCAGAGCAGAAGAAAATATATTGTAGTTTAGTAAGAGGAGGGGAAAATAACCTGACTTTCCCTGGTGCTGGTTTTTCTTCTCTATGATTGATACTTTTTCCTTTAGTCTTTAGGGGTTGAACTCACCTACACTTCCAGAATTATTAGTGTGTGTAGCCATTCACTTGCCCTTTTACCTGTCATCAATGAGCATGCCTTGTTGCATATGGTGAGCTTTTTTCTCACCTTTTATTTTCGTTTCTAACTGAACTTACTTGTAATA